CAAATACCCTCCAGAGCCGTTCCCTAAACTCCACCTAGGACCCAGCCTAGGAGCACGCTGCCTTTGATATGTCTCTTTAGTGTCCTTTTAACCTGGAATAATCCCTTTGTCTTCATGATATTGGCCTTTTGGAGAAGTCCAGGCCAGCCAGCGACTTGTGAAAAGTCCCACGGCCTGGGATTACCCTGCGGTTTCCTCCCATGGGGTTCCAGTGTTTGGCCAGGAGCTGGGGGAGGGGTGGGAAGTGGGGTGGGGGAGGTGGGCTGTGTACCTCCCACGGAGGCCGAGGAGGCAGAAATGCAGCAGGCCCTGTTCAGATCACCTGGCAAGGGTGGGGCTTGCTGGGTCTCTCCACCTAAAGGTGTTGGCTTCCCTCTGTAATCACTGAGTCACCTGTGCGTGCTTCTTGGAGACTACAAGAATGTCCTGACGCTCAACCCTCACCCATGTGCTTTGGAATCCACAGAAGACCCTTTGGTGACTGCCAGTGTACCCTTGTCTCATTCTGCCTTCCTCTTGCGTTGATGAATTGTCATTAGTTCCAGAGTTTTCCCTGCCCCACACCTCACCCCCTCCCCTTTACTGTCACTGCAAATTCCTGGAGTGCTTCTACAACTCAATGTGCTGTAGTCAGGACCATCCTTATTTTCGATGGTCTGATTGTCTCAGATTTGGCCAATGGGGTCCCCTCCTTGCTGGTGCTGGGTCCTGTGGACACTCACCATCATTCTTCGAGCACTTCCTTGCTCTTCTGCCTTGTGACAAGGACTTGCCATATCTTTGGGGTGCCCTGGTTGGCTTCCTCTCATGAGGATGAGGTTTAACATGAAGGTCAGCGTGCGCGCCCTGCTGCTGGGGTACCATTGCCTCAGGCCCTTTTAGCAGACAGGGCCAGGAATAAGCCCCTCGCGTTCATCCTGGTGCCTGCAGCTCAGGCCTGAGGTCCTGGCGTCTCCCCTGCCTGCTCCTTCCACACCTGACTGTCTTCTCTCCGGGAAGCCCTGGTTCCCAGGAATATCCGCATGTCTCTCTCCCACTGCATACTTTCATCATCACTGTGCAGCCCCAGCGTGGCCAGCCTGCTGGGGACATTCAGGATGCCCATGTGGACCTCTGTGTTCCCCAGGAACCAGCACTGTGCAGTCAGAGGGCTATGATCCCAGGCTGCGGGCGATTCTCTGTTAGTGAGTGTGACTCTGTTCCAATAATGCTTGATTTAGCAACATGGGCGCAGGCTGGATGTAGCCTGAGGGGCATGTTTGCAGACTAGTATATAATCCCAACAGAGCTGCTCCTGGTATGGGATGATCACCCAGTAAACAGCTGTGCCTCGGTGACAGGGGCCAAGAGGGCAGGAAGGGGCCTTCCCGGTAGGGGGACAGGCGGCCTTCTTCCTGGATGAAGGGGACAGAGGCCTCTGAGACGGCAGGGCAGCCCTCAACTCCTGGACCGCCCAGACTGGCCAGGGAAGAGAGGACAAGTTCAGAGGTGAGTCCAGTGGCTCATACCCGTAATCCCAGCACCTTGGGAGACTGAGGCCTGCGACTGGGGTGCCAGGTGGGCCAGGAGTCACCCACTCTGGTTGAGAGAAGAGAGCAGAGCTTGGTGAGCTGACGTCCTTCCCCGACAGTGAGTTCTGAACTCCTCTCTGGGTAAGCAAATGCCCTGTGTTGGAAAACACAAGGAGCTGCTTGGCCTGTCAACACCAAGCCCAGTGGGCAGCCAGGGTTGGGCCCCCTGCAGCCTGCCTTCACCCCGAGCACCGAGCTCTACAGCCCCTTGAGACCTGCGATGCCAGCATGACTCTCTGGTTCCACCTGCTCCCTTCCCTGTGGACCCAGGAGGCTCAGTGGGGCCTGGAGGCTCGAGGAGGGGGCCTGGGGCAGGCTTGGTGGCCTGGGAGCCCGGAGGCAACTGAGGCATGAGGGGCTGGGCCAGGCGGGGGCTGCTCAGCTGTTCTTCCTGTTTCTTCTCGCCCTTCCCCACCCGCCTTGCCCCCCGGCCTGGCAGGTTGGCACAGGCCTTCTGCGAAGCCCTCTGGGCCTGGAGGCAGTCTTGTTATGCTGCTGGAGAAATGAGCCAGGATTGCCACTGCTGACTTCTCTTTTAATTAGGTTCCGGCAGCGGCATGCAGGGTGGCTGACTGCAGATTCAGGTGCCGGTCCGTGGTCCCCGACTCTGTAGGCTCAGCTTTTTCGGAGACAGGCAATGCTTCTGACCTTCCTTTCCTGGGAGTAGGGCAAGAGGCCGGATGCACCATGGGGCGCAATGCCTCTCTCAGCATGTGCGTGCTCGTGCATCTGTGAGCCAGGAGGTGTGCTGCACTTTGGAAAAGTCTGTCAACGGAGCATGAGGGGCCTCCCCTGCTGCTCTGTGTCCATTCAGCCACCTGTCTGCTCCCCAATAGCAGGTGCTGAGGAAACCCTCCCAACCCCCAGCCTCAGAGTCAGCCTCTGTGGTTGGGGTCGATGGTGCCCTAGCTGGCTTTTCCCAGCGAGGTCTTGGGAAGTGGGGGATGGGGGTCTCGTTGAAGCTAGGACGTTCCTCCTGGAGGCTGATTCAGCAGAACAAAACCCACCGCAGGTTTCATAGAAGGAGCGGTCCTCTCAAGGGAAGAGACATGAAAGCTGGTGTCACCAGGGCTGTGGGCAGAGGATGTGAAGGGATAGGCCAGGGAGATGGGGAGCAGTCCTTCTCTTGCACCGAATGGACTGGGCCTGACTTGTGGAGGCTGGGAGGAGACTCGGCCTCCCCTGTGAAACAGAGGCTCTGAGCCTCCAGCTCCTGGACCTTCACTGAGTGTGGGGAGCTAAGAAAAGAGGAACTGAGGCTGGGTGCAGTGGCTCATACCCCTAATCCCAGCACCTTGGGAGGCTGAGGCAGAAGGATCACTTGAGGCCAGGAGTTGGAGGTTTCAGTGAGCTATGATTGTACCACGGCACTCCAGTTTGGACAACAGAACAAGACCCTGTCTTGAAAGAGGAACAGAGAGTCCTCCCTTCCCCCGCACCTTGGAAGCCCTTAGTCTGAGCCCAGTCTGAGGGAGGAGACAGTTCCCTGCCCTCTGAGCATGCTCAGCCTGTTAGGAGAGTCTGTCTCTGTCCCTGGAGCCCTCACCTGGTGGGGACAGCATGTCCCTGCTTTTGGTGAACTTTTGGCCTGAAAGGAAACGATAACTTCTGCTCTGGGGGTCCTCTTGGTAAAGGGTGACTGTACCGTAAAATTCAGCCCCTAGGGCAGCCTGGCCTCTGGAGAGATTCTGCCTCTCCAGTCCTCTCCCCAGGGGAGTCTCAACTTCCTTCCCCCTCCCCTTCCTCTGCCACTCAGCTGTTCAGAAAAAGCACTTTCTTTAGACAGCTCTCATTCTCACCCTCCTGAGCCTGTGCTCTGATCGGGAATAAGCCCGACCTCTGGGCTCCTCGCAGGACCCCCTAAGCTTCTTCATCTTGGTGGAAAGCCTCTTAGTGATTTGAGCCAGGATGGAACTGTGGCCAGGGCCAGGGCCGGAGCCACTCTCAGGACAAAAGAACCGAGTCCTGGTCTTCCCACTCCACTTGTTAAGCCCACACGGGGCCTTCCGGGCCAGACCAGCATCCAGCCCCCCCAAGAGTTCTCAACCTGAACTTCTTTAACAGTAACACTGAGCATGTCACTTACCAGCTCAGCCTCCTCCTCACCGTGGACTTCAAGGACCTGGCCCTGCCCACTTCTCCCATCTCTGTCTCTCCACCTTGACCCCACACCAATCCTCCCTCTATCTTGTTCCTGCCTTAGGGCCTTTGCACTTGTGGTGCCAGCTGCCTGGAATGCTCTCCCAATCCTCCCAACCACCCAGAGCTGTTTCCTTCCCTTTATCTAGGTCTCTGACTAAATGCCACCTCCTAGAAAACCTTTCCTGACCACCCAATCGTAATGGCCTTCACTGTTTTTTCCATGTAGTGATGGTCACTATCTGAGATCACCTTTATTTGTTTTAATTGTCTCACGCACTGGGAACGCTTTCTCCACAGGCGGGCCCATGTTTACCTTGTCCATCACTGTATTTACACCCATGCCAGGCCCACTAGTAGGGGTGCAAGAACACCTGTCAGGTGAGCAAGGCCCTACCAGGCACTGAGCCTATGCCAAGCTCTCCTTCAGGTTAAGGAACTTGGGCTTCCTTCTGCAGAGATGGGAAGGCTGACCGTCTGTAACTTCTCTTTAAAAAAGTTTTAGTTTGTTTTAAGGTCAAAATCGCACATCACTTACAAGAAAAAAAAATCAAATAGCAGAAAAAATAAAAAATCCAATGAAATCAAAAGTTAGGTTTATCCTGAAGCTTCCCCCCTTCCCTGAGTCCTGTCTTCTGGATGAGGATGTTTTCACCTCCCTGTTTGTTGTCCACTGACGCTTTCCTCTCATTTGTCTTCTCTGCTGCTTCTTGATGTTTCCGTTTCTGGACATTCTCTGTGGATGAGGATGTGACCCTCACCACTCCCCCACCCCCCACCCCGTGGTTCTGTGGGTTGCCTTTGTCACTTTAAATAATACATGTGAACCGTGACTACTTCTGTTGGCTTTCGGCTTCGTCTTCTCGTCTGCAAGATAAGGCTCTGATGGAATGCTGGTCCTGTCAGTGTGTGTGTGTGTGTGTGAGAGAGAGAGAGAGAGAGAGAGAGAGAGAGAGAGAGAGAGAGAGAGAGAGAGAGTGTGTGTGTGTGTGTGTGTGTGTGTGTTTGTGTGTGTCCCTGCTCTGACAGGAGTCCTGTGGCATGTGGGCCAGTCCTGCCAGCACGTGAGAATGTGCATGTTCCCCAGCTCCTCACTGAGGGGTGTCATGTAAATACACTATGGAAATTGGCAAGCCCTGCACACCAGCGCTCTCCGCCACCACTGGTGGCTAAGATTGCCTTCCAGCCCTGAGCAGCTCTTGCAGGAGTGAGGACAGCTGCCTGGGGGAAGGGGCGTGCCTGGAGGCTGGGCTGGGGCCTGGCACCCACACCCATCCCTCTGTACCACAGCAAAGCTTCGAGGCGCACCAGGACGAGGTGGTGAGCGTGACGCACATGGTGAAGGCGGGCAGCGGCGTCTGGATGGCTTTCTCCTCGGGCTCCTCCATCCGCCTCTTCCACACGGAGACCCTTGAGCACCTGCAGGAGATCAACATTGCTACCAGGACCACCTTCCTCCTGCCAGGTGAGCTGCTGGGGGGAGGGCACTGCGGCTCTGAGCGCCTCTGAGCCAGGTAGAGGTGCGGCCTGGGCAGCCACCCCATCAGCCCCCAGGCAGCCTTGAAAGCTGCATCAGCCTCAGGAAGCAGCAGGGTCAGGATTCACATCCAGGCCTGGCACCCCCAGGCCCCTCTTCCGTCGCCGTCCTCGTCACTGCATCACAGCAGCCCAGGGGCACCCAGGAAGAGGCTCTGAGCCCAGTGGACTCTCCCAAGTGAGGCAGCTGCTCGGAAAGGGCCACACTGGGCCGGAACCCAGGCCTGTCTACACCACCCCCTCCTCAGGTTGGCCAGAAACCCCATTCTGCCTCAAATCTCCATCACAGTGAGTTGGAGGGAGAGTAAGAAGGCCAACCCAGGGCTCTTTCCTTAGCGAGGCATGTTGTCCCTCCTGGGGTGCTGGCTCATGGGCTGGGTGGGCACCCCCCTGTCGGGGCCTCCTGTGTTGCTGGACAGTTGAAGTGGAGGGGCTTGATGGTGGAGGATTAAGACTGGAGCTCATCTAACACGCCGCCCCTGCCTGCAGCTTCTGTGGAATGGGCCACCAGCCCTCCCTCACCATCTGCTGCCCGACATGCAGGGCTGTGCCCTTTCTCACACCCAGAGGCTCCAGGGCAGCCCCAGGGCCAGCAGGTGTCAGCTTATCCTGTGTCCTTCCTCGGCCTGGCTTCCCTCAGACAGACCGACCAGGCGCTGGTCTGGGAGGTCGCAATGGCTCTGTCCTGTCCAAGTGCCTCAGGCGGGGCTGGGCTCAGCAGCTGGGAGAGTCGAAGGCCCTGGGGCCAGAGAAACGGAGCCCTGTGGCAAGTGGGGCCTGGAGCTGGCTGGCACCAGGATGCGGCAGCTAGACCATGGTGGAGGCTGGGAGCGGCCATGTGCCGAGCCAGGGGCTGAGCACCTGTCTCATGAGACTGCGCCAAGGACAGGCATGTCAGCCAACACTTCAGGGGCCTCAGGGACTCCTGTCTGGCCCCAGAGGCCTGGTCTCTAACTCAACTTAGGGACCCAGAAACCCCCCGGCTTCTGCCTCCTCCGGCCAGTCACATCTGCCTTGAGTCTGAACGGGTGACTCAGGGGGTGGTTACCAGCAGCACGATCGGAAGCAGGGCCACCCCGCCCCGAACCCAGAGGGAGCCTGCCCCAAGGACTTTGTGCGCCCCCAGCCCCGCGAGGCCAGGCCTGTCCCCGTGCTACAGATGCAGATACTGAGATTGTTTAGCTGGGTGAGGAGTCTCACCCGTGGTCGTGCAGCAGACCAGGGCAGGACCACAGGTCCTGTTGGGTCGGACTCACTTCAGAGTCCCACTGTGTAATGGGGAAGACGGTGGCTTCAGGATTGAGTCCTGGCTGGCCACCATGTGGCCTCAGGCAAGTCTCTTCCCCTCCCGGAGCCCCTCGTCCCTCTGTGAGGGGGCATGTGGTTCCCGGCTCAGGGGCTGTCATGAGGGCCAAGGCCACCAGGGCTGGGGAGGCACCTGGCCCAGGCCTGCAGTGTGGCAGTTGCCCGATGGGTGTGAACCCTCCTCTGAATTTTCCCTGGGTGTGGGAGAGGCCTGAGGGACCTGTGTGGTGAGTCTGGTTCCTCCCTCCCTCCCCCCCACCTCTCTTTCCCTCCCTCCTCCTCCTATCCCCCCTTCCTTCTTTTCTTCCATTCCATAGTATTTGCACCACGTTATACAAGTTCAATCCCATTTCAACTACAATAAAAATTTCTCTGTATCACAAAACTATTTCCACATTCCCTCTGATAGCTAAATTATTTTGAGTTGGCAGAAAAATGAAAAAAAATGGATACTCTTATAGACCCGTTAAAATCTTCGGAATCTCATCTTGCGGGGGTGGGGAGCATGAGAGGAAGAGCTGACCACGTGGTGGGAGACAGGACTGTGGATGGAGCGGCTGCAGGTAGAACGGCAGCTCCCACCTGTGCAGCCCTCTGTGTCCTGTGTGTTTCAGGTGCACATTCATGTCCACCGACTTGACTTGTTCTTGGCAGCTGCTCTTTACAGAAAGAAGGGCATTCGTTCCTTTCATGGTTATTTTAGGTCCAGCAAACTGAGGCCCGGGAGCTTAAATGACCGGCCAACCGCCACACTGCTGATGGGCCACGGGCTCTAGCCACAGCTTTCTCACACTCACTGTGCAGCCCTGGTCAGCTGCACCCCCTTCCTAGGGCCTCAGTTTCCCATCCGTACATCGAGGGACCAGGATTGGAGTCAGCTTGGCCATGCTGTGGAGGGTAGACCAGAATCCCTGCTCTGTTGCCCCAGAGCAAGTGGGGAACCCAGGTCCTCAGGCAGGTGTGGGTGTGATATGGGACGGTGCAGGGATAGCACCCACCGTCCCCGTCTCAGGTCTGCCTCGGGCTGTGACAGTGACATTACCATCAGTATCATTATCATCTTCACGGCATTCCTGCCCACCTGGCCTCTCCTACGGGGACTCCTTGCCCAGCTCTGACCCTCCAGTCTGCCCAGAGCATCAGAGCAGATGGAAGGGACCTCTCTGCCTGCCAGACCTCACTGGGGCTGAGCCCTGGACAAGTCGGGGTGTGGGCTGAGGTTCCTGGAAGTCGGGTTTCCCTAGGGGTCCCTCCTTCTCCCAGTCCTGACCTTCTGTACTCACCAACCCTGAGGAGCCCAGGACTCCGCCAGGCCAGGTCTTCCTGGGACCCCTCGGACCCAAGAGCGTCTTCCTGAGCTCCAGGCTGAGCAGAGCCGGCCCAGCACAAGTGCTGGGGGGGCCATGGGATGGGTCAGCTCCGATCTGCCCCTCATTATGTCTTGGTGGAAGAACAACAAAGCAGGATTCTTAAATTCTTTATTAGCTATATTGAAAAAGGGCTTTTAAGTATTTTTTCTTCCCCCACACGGCCAAATGAAATAATTGCATAATTAGTAATAAATGTGTCCTTCCTCTAAGTGTGGATTTTTTTAGGGCGTGTTAAAAATTGATCACGCTTCCTTCCCCTGACCCCTTTCTTCCATTCGAGTACCCGACTGGTATTAATGCATTTTTTAACCTAAACTCCCTCCTCCTCTTAACTAGACAGGTCATTAATAAAATGTTCTCCGAGAGCCTGAGCTTTTTAAAGTTGTATATCTCCAGATAGATGGCTTGGGTGAGTTGAACACTGCTGCATTAAGTCTCTGTGATAAAATATTTATTCACCATTAGAATTTTTTTCCTTCGGACTGTTTGTGAAGTGTCTTGCTCTTTTCCTCGAGGCAGAGGGGGGAGGAGGAAGGGCCCCGGAATGAGGTCTGCAGATGAGGCCATTTCTCAATTCCGGCATCTCTTTGGTTTCTCACTCGCCTTCCTTTCATGAGTCGGGTTCCACTGTCCAGGGGGGCTCGGAGGAGGCCCGGGCGTCGGGAAATGGTCTCCTGCTGGCCTCAGGGCCCCAGGGGTCTGGGGAAGGGAGGTGAGGCGTGAGGGGTGGCTAGCTCGCCCCATTCCCTCTCCTGCCTGTGTGGCTTTTGTGGGTTCATGGTTCCGATGGAGCTGATCTTGTGACGTTAGAACCTAGGTCCTTTTAATAATCGTAAACCCCATGCCGATAGCCACCATTTATTGACTGTATGTGCTAAAAGCTGTGCTTAACTGTGTATCTGCATTATGTATGTATGGTGTGTATATGCCCTATTTCTTGTACTCATAAAACTGAGCAAAGCAGGTCTGTAATGCTCAATGATGGATGAGAAAAAAAGGGATTTGTCCAAATTCTTTCATCCATGCCACCCTCCCTCCATCCATCCACGCATCCATGCACTTATCTGCCCATCCATCCGTCCATCCACCCATCTATCCATCCATCCACCCGTCCACCCATCCGTCCATCCGTCTGTCTGTGCATCCACTCATTCATCCACCTGCCTGCCCATCCATCCATCCATTCAGGCATCTGTCCATCCACTCATCCATCCACCAATCCTTCCATCCATCCATCCTCCATTTATCCATCCATCTGTCCATCCACTCATCCATCCACCAATCCTTCCATCCATCCATCCTCCATTTATCCATCCATCTGTCCATCTACTCATCCGTCCTCCTGCCTGCCCGTCTGTCCACTCTTCCATCACTCATCCAACCATCCGTCCACTCTTGACTCACGCATACTTTTGGAGCACCTACGGTGAACCAGGGTACTCAGCCAGGAGTCAGGGAGTTGCCCTTGAGGACACAGAGAAGCTGCTGCCCTCACAGAGCTTGCGTTCAGGCAGGTAGACAGGAGCCAGACAGAGAAAAGCGAGTTCAGTACAGGCCTTGAGCAGCACCAAGAAGAGGAGGAGGAGGTGGGGGGAAGCTCACAGCCCCAGCCCCCCGTGCTGCCTGGGTCTGGGGGGCTGGGGCCCATCCGTGGACTAGAGGCCCTTGCCATAGTTTTGAGCCATCACTTTCTGGATTGATTCGGGTGTGGGACGTTGTTCCAGCTGCATCAGCACCCAGAAACTCTGTGCAACAGTCGCCCCACTGTCACATCTCCAGGTCAATAACCAACTTTCCCCAGCACGGCTCGTACCTCCACGCAGACTCAACTCTGTGAAGGTGGTTTCTTGAGTTGGCAGCAGGTCGCCATGCTCATTCAGTGGCTTTGCTCGGGTGTCTAATGCACGCCTTGCCACACGTCCGGCCCGGAGCTCTGGGTTTCCACCTATACCTCCCCCCTTGCTGGCCCCGCCCTGGGGTCCTCTCCCCTCTCCCCACCCGCTCCCGTGTTTCAGCAGGTCTGTTGTTCTGCTTTCATTATGCCTCAACCGGGTTGGCCTCTCTGTACCCGGCAACCATCCCTGAGCCTCAGCCGCCGCCCT